GATTGTTGCTGTTCAGGGTCGGTGAACAGTTGGAGCTGTCTGTGATGGAGCACAGGTTACACAGCGCTCGCTGACTGGATTGTTGCTCTATAGGAGGAGCTGCTTCGCTGTCCTCTCTCCTTACGTACACACACGCGCACACACACACACACATAGCTGTGGTACAGCAGGCAGGGAGAGAGCTGATTGGACAGACCTGGGGAAAGGCTGCGTTACATTATTCACTGTGACTCAGGCAGGCTGGGTGTATTAATCAGTTTCGATTGCCGGCAGAAGCGAGAGCAGAGATGAAGGGGTTTGTGCCTGTGTTGGAAACACCCTCTGCGCTGCTGTCTCGGCTCCGTGTCCTGCGGGTTTGCCTTGGCCTCCACTCAACATGAGTCTGGCTGCTCACGTCAGCTGTTCCATGCTGAATTGCTTTGTGAGTCTCTCTCTCTCTCTCCTGTTTTTCCTTTGCTGGCAGCCTGGGTGTGAGCTGGTGGCTACTGTCTGATGTATGTGTGTCCGTGAGAGCGGTGAGAGGAAATTTAACAGAACAGAGTGCTGTGTAGGAGAGGCCGATCAGTGACTCAGCACATTCTTCTCCCTACAGATACACACCAGCTGCGGCTTCAGGTGACCGTGTGCTAATGTCAGCCTGATGTTAGGACGATTGTGTTTGCGTTTCAGCCGCTCAGCCTCCATCGCCGTTTTTTACTCTTCATCTTAAATCCTTATTGCATTTTCTTTTGAACTCATTGCTGTGAGCGATTTTGTATCTACAAGGTACAATGGAAACCACGTACACAGTAGCCTAGTAGAGAAGGTAAATAAATGGCTGGGTTTGTGAGTGTGGCGATAGCAGTGATGTGCTGCGGGCTGACCTTGGTGTCCACCTCCTGCTGATCGCTGGTGAGGTTTCCTGTACCTGGAGGCAGCGGTTGGTGCAATGTAGTTGTCTGGAGAAGCTGTAAACAAAGGTGTGGCTTTTGTTACAGCCCTGGATGCTGGGGGTGGGGAGATCTAGTCCCTCAGACCTTTGGTATTGTGTTGGTTCAAGAATTTGCTTACTGGGAACGGCTGCTCCTGTGTGCAGTCGAGCATTCCTCAATCTTGTACCTTCTGTTCTAAAGCTATTGTTCTGGAGTACAGACGCATTTAATTGTTGAGCTGTCAGACTATCTCGCTGTCTTAATCAGAAGGTACAAGTCAAAGTGTGTCATTGCTCAGTGTGTCTCTGGAACGCTACCCTGCATGACAGGTGCTATATAAATGCAAGCTGTTGTTTTAGACAGATGTGTGTTTATCTGGTGTGTGTGCGCGCGTGTGTGACTTGTTTATATTGTACAATGTCCCGGAGTGGAGTAGAGAAGATAGGTACAGGGCTGGAAACCCTGGACGAGATGGTAATGAATGTAGAGTCAAATTACACACCAGTGATTGAGCAGCCTATCTCTGCAGCCAAAGAGCTCTACCCAACTTTGCTGAGAGTCAGTAAACATTCAGTTGCTTTGAGTGGGAGGCAGTGTTGTAGTTTCGTTACCTGGTGAACTGGGATCATGTCCCCATTGGAGCTGTTTGGATGATCTATTTCTATTCTGGCACAAGTGCAGAATGTACACAATCAGCTGCCCTCACTCTGCTCGCCCAGGATCACCATAGTCTGAACGGGCTTCATGCCCTTTGTAACTGCAAACTTTCCCACAGACAATATTTAGCAAATTTTCTTCCTCCCTGAATCCGGTGTCAAAAAGCTGATGTCAACAAGCTATAGAAAAAGTTTAGACTTGGAATCGAATGCTTCAGGACTAATCAGGAAAGCAATCTCAACCCTGAGAACATGGTGCTGAGCAGAATGCCGCCTCTTATTTGTCTCCTCCAACCACCTATTTCTTAGGGATCTAGTCTGTTGGCCCTAATTGTAGTTACATGATGTTAAGTAACCTTCACTTGCTCAGAGCTCAGTGTCATTTTATACCTGTTTCAAACCTGGATTTCCCAAACAGGGACCTCGCTGTCCAAATTCCCTCGCCCCTCAAGTGGCAATATGAGTGCACGGCTGCTGAGTTGGTTTAATGGTTTAATTGATTTGTTTATGCTGAGTCCACACACTGAATACTCTCTGATTCCTATTTTCTTTCTGAGGCTTGTTCATTCCCACACTCGGAGGTTGGCAGTAATGTGAAATCAGGCAGCACTGATAAAGTAACATCTACAGATAGTGGGCTCGAAATTGCAGCCAGGTACAAATTCCTACCAGGTGTTCATTAATAATGAGGACTCCTTCCAGCAAGCAGGAGAGTGTGAAGCTATTACTGAATCTTGTTGGAGTGACTGGAAGGGGAGCCAGGGTCTGTGTTTGCAACCACTCGTCTGCCTGGTCCACAATCTGTCCAGATATCCATCCGAAGATTTGCGGTGGACCAATCTTCCATTAGGAGTTACGCAATCACTGTAGTTCTGCATTGTGATATCCATTTTCTCTCTCTCACTGTTTTTCCCTTGGCTTTTTCTCTAATCCTTTTCCAATCTTTGATTTTCTCCCTCGCTTTCTCTGTCTTTCTTACTCCATGATTCTCCCACTCTCCTAGTTTCTAACCCTGCCCTTGTGTGGCCAAATCACAGTTGTGCTCCAGAGGAAACTGGTGGATGTGGTAACTTTGTGTAAGTGTTAGTGCCACACTTCCAATTAGTGCCCATGTGAGAAAATGAATGTGCAGATAGTTAGCCGGTGAATGTGCCTCGTTGTATTGTATGGTAAACAAGTCGCCCTTCACAGAGATGATCTTGAGGTGTGAAGGCTGAGGAATGTGAGCTGGAATGTTAAATGCTTTCCAGCGGGTCAAACCCACAAGAGAAGGAAGCAGCTGATTCGATTCACACTGGCATTGCAATCTGAACATGGTGGTGGTGATGAGATTGCATCAGAGCCAGTGAGTGAAACTCAGCCAAGTACTGTGTAGCCATGCCCTTGGGCATCAGCACCAGGCTGGGAAGAGAACCATGTATTTGCCTTCTGACAGCTGGTGGCTGCTGTCCCTTGCCAACGATGTGAGTATTTAGTTACCTCACAGTTACACAGTTCTCTGCAGCGTTCAGAGTGGCCTGGCTTGTTAAAATCCGTCTGTTATCGCAAGCAAAACGGTCGGTACATTTGGTGCTGTTCCTGTACTGATTCCTCTGGGGAGATTACTTTAGCAGCTTTCACACAAAGATGGGTCAAATTGGGTTAGAACATTTTGGTTCCTGCTGCAGTTGCATTGGAAGATTCTGGAACCAAGTAACGCAGAATCCATCACAGTGTGGAACTCCAGCTGTGCTTTGCAAAATTATTTAAAGAAAAATCCGTGGAGAGTTTGAGTGGAATTTCATCCTTCGGAGGGTTGGAATTCATCACCGCAAGTGGCTATAGTGAGTAGCGGAATCCAAAAGGGAACTGGATAAGCACCTGAGCAGTACAGATAGCATAAGCAGGAGCTGGGATGTCAGGTGAATTTAAAAATAGTGATTTATAAAACCCAACATTGACACAGAATTGATGGTCTGAAGACCTCTCCTGTTCAGAGCTCAAGTGTGTTAATTTATTATTGAAAGTGCTGACAATTATTAACGTGAAGGATTAAGCATTTAATGCTGTAGCTTCTTCAAAAAGTTGCCATTATGGTGCCAAGATTAAACTACAAGTGATGGAGCGAGCCTGTGAACATTCAGATCTTTTGGCCTGTATTTCATGCATCTCTTTGGTTATTGCCCATGTTTCCAAACACAGGAGTCCAGCTCCAGTGCAGCGGGTTTTAAAATTGCAGTTAATGATTTCTCTAGTAATAATAATAAAAATCCTTGTATTTCACATACTGCTTCATCACATCGTTGAAACATTTCAAAGTGCTTCACAGAATATAATATAAAGTGAATTGACTGTATATTTTGTGGGCCAAACGCGGCAGCTAATTGCACATAGCAGCAACCCACAAACAGTTGTGGATTGAGTGACTAAATTATTGTTATTTAAACAAAAACAATCCTGTACAAAGGATTTAAAAATCCATGTGGCATAGTGTACAGGCTACCTGTGAAAACCCAACAGTGTCTTTGTCCATTCTGTCCAGCACAGTGCTGAGATTAGGAAATTATTTATTCCTTTAGTTGTAAACTTTATAAATCCCAATGATATAAGGTTTAGATCTGTTGGTGAGCGTGAGGTAGGCTACGGACACAAATTTGTTCCATTCGTTAGACACAGGCCTTTTGTAAAAGAATTGAGCTACTGACACTTGCCATCCTGCGTCTCGTGGAAGTTACTGCCTTAGATGATTGACTGGAATTCACAACAACTGATCCGAGCAATTTATTGTGACAGACTTGCTGATAGCCAGAGCTGGGGGATTGTAAAGCAACTAGCGCTTTGGTCACTTCTTAGATTATATTCTCTGTTTAATAGTATGGAATTATTATTATTATTTTGGTGGGGGTGGGGGGATGCTGCTTATGGAATTCACTCTGGGTTCGCAAGTCCCGTGGGAGATCTGTGTCGCATTGCAGTGTTCCTGATAATTCTCATCGGCCGTTGGATCCTACAAATGATTCATTGCTGCCGATAATAAATGCCTGGATTAAATGTGCTTTCATTGATTGCATCCATCTGATCGGTGTGGCAACCAAAAATAAATCCTCCACTTCTGGTATAGTTGCATCGCTGTGCAGTGATCTCACAGATGTGAACAGCATGAGCCCTTCCTAGGATTACACCTCTACTCAGTGTGGAGCAAGGGCAGTCAAGCGGAGTGGGAAGAATTCCAGCCCCCAGTGATTGTGGTCTGCTTCTCCAAATCCTGCCAAAACTGTGAGATGGTGTGAAAGTTGGCAAGTAGTAATGGTATCCATTGAGCCTCTTGATGTTCCATTTACTTAATCTCGGAGCTTCCTCTGTATTGAGCACTTTTTGTACTAAATTCCAAGCCATGCGTTCATTTCCTGTACGGGGTGTCGACTTGACTGAACCATGACTGTATTTTTCCCAGGGTGAAGAGGGGCCACCCAGTTTGGAGTACATTCAGGCCAAGGACCTATTCCCACGGAAAGAGCTGGTGAAGGAGGAAGAGGACCTGCAGGTAAGCTGCTCTCCGAGGAGACATTGTTCTCCACCCATTTCCCAGTCCCCTCCTGGCACAGTGTTCCCCATTGCTCCATCTCCCAGCACTGCGTTAATTCCCCTCTTGGCAAGGTCTTCTCTCACAGCACAACCTCCTCTCCCCTCTTGGCATAAACACAGAGGTCATCTATCAGCCATGTCAGATTATCATGTCTGTACCATACAACCATAGACCTCAACCAATAGAAGCCATTCAACTCATTATATTGCTGTGTGTTTGCTTCTCCAATGAAGCCATCTCTCCTAACACTAATTTGCTATTTGTTTCCTCTACCACAGCCATTGTTTTTTCCAACTTGCCCTTTATTATTAACTTCACATTCTAGCTCTTAACCCGATATGCTTTAAAGCTTTTGCAAGCGCCTGTGGTGGGAACCCCTTACATTGATTGCCCTGTCTCCTCTCCTGGTTGCTGGGTGTCTGACCCCTTCTGCAGGCACGTGTTTTTAACAACAATTTAGAAGCTTTATTCAGAGACACTTCTGCTTGTGAGGGAGGTGGTTAACATTGTTAGAATAGCCTCTTTGCTTTTAATCAAAATATCTCTGGTCTGTGATAATCTGTGATCAGTGGTCTGGGACAGCAGAGAGTTATATATAGGCTATACAGTATTTTGGAATAGACTACATTGTGCTGCTGGTAGACTTCCTGACCCAGATTGATTTTTTAATTACCCCTCTCATGGTGGGTCGGTGAGAGGAGCAACACTTGCTACAAATGAAATGTCAGAAAACCTATTGGATTTAAAGTGCCTTGTGTTCTAATATAATTGTAGCTGCCTTTAACCCCGGCAGCATGTTGGCTACTCACAGAAAATTGCAGATGTATGGAAACCAACAACAACAACAAGATTCCATTTATTGAGCGCTTTTCAGGTCAGGAGGACGTGAAACCTCCAACTGCTATGTTACATTTAATTGTGAGAGTGATAGACACACAGAGACGAGCAACAAACTGGGTGCTGGAGAGAGAGAGAAAGCAACCTCTGAGAAACAGACTTATTTTAAAATAAATACAGAGCTAAGCTACATTCAGGAGCTTGGTAAAGTCTTGAGGTCTTCTTGCTATGTGCAAATTTCCCACTAACAATAAAATTATATTTATAGAGCGCCTTTCACGTCAGGAGGACGTCCTAGAGCGCTGAGTTTACATAGTTTATGTGCTTTACAATCTATCCAGTGAAATGCTTTGCAGTGTGAAAGGTGCTGCATCAAAGGTAAGGATTATTATCATCATCATTATCATGTTTTAGTTTTATAGTTGGAGTATCTCGTTTTCCTAGTCTTATAATACTCCGGGCATGAGACTAACAGTGTAGGCACTGATAGCAAGAGTGACTGCTGTAAACCTGCAATGAGAAGTAACCATCAACTCGTTCATCTGCTGCCCCCTGTGCCCGGTCTGCCCCCTGTGTCTATGGCGATTGCAGGTTGGAGAATAGAATCATTGTTTTGCACCAGAGTTTAGATTTCAAAAGAAAACAAACTACTGTGCCATATCTAAAATTAGCTTCATAAGAACACGGCTCTTCAGTGGTTGGGGAATCATTTACCTGAAGGAGGTAATGAAGAAAGACAGAGTGTCTGACCTTGAACCAAGCAACTGTTTGTGCTGCTTCCTCTAACTGTCAGCCTAACGCTGACCTTGACAACTTCTCACTGCACATCTTGTGAACAGTTGGAATTGTTGGAGTCTCATTATTGAACAGATGAAGCCGTATCTCAGCACAGAGAGATGGAGCAGACAAGCTTCCTGCCCACAGACCCCTCTGATCATCAATAACAACAACAAAATTACATTTGTACAGCGCCTTTCACGTCGAGAGGATGTCCCAAGGTGCTGGACAGTCAGAGTTATGGACCTGAGCTGAAGGTCAGGGAGGGTGGAGGGCAGGGGGGGAAGCAGGGAGATCGAAAGCACAGTCGATCATGATCACCCCTCTCCTTGCCCACAAGACGTGGTGAAGTTAGAAGCCCAGGCCTGAGACTCTGGAAAAAATGTTCTCGCAAACAATGAATTATGGTCGTTGTTGACCTCTTGACTCTCACTGTCTGGCTCTTTGACAGATGATGTGAAGTTCAGGTAGGCTTAACGTTTAATATTCACAGCAGTAATTGGGTAAATTATGAAGATGATTGTTCAGTCACAAGAAGCAACAAAAGGTTTCAAATCCATATCAGGTCCTGATCTAGAGGAGCTTTAATCAGGTTCTCACTTAGAGGAGCTTTAAAGTAGTAACTCCTCAGCTACTGAGTCTTTTAGGCTGGACTTTTGAAAGCGAATAAATCCTACCGACATGAAGATAAAGAGGATTTCCCAGCACCTCTCTGTGGTTTATTGCTAAACTTGAGGGTGATTGTGTCCATGTGGATCCTTCAACCAGTCTGGAGATCTAGCCATGTTTGCATTTGCTATACAAGCGAGTACTATCACTGATCTCAAGTACTACTCATTAGAGCTGTTCTCCCCCCACTCCGCTCCACACACTTCTTAGGAAGCAATGTCATCAATTACATTGAATGCCTCTGGATACGTGGGGAGTATGTTCATCTGTGGAGATTTGTGGAGTCCTGTATCAACTGCACAGATTTTTATTATATTATTATAGGCAGATGTGAAGCTTTTCGGTGCCAGTAAGGATTCTTAACTGTACAAGATACTGAAAGCCACCTGGTGGTGAGAAGCTCAGCAATGCTAGAGTCTCTGTTCCAAGCGCTTCATAAAGTGCTGATTACTTTGTACAGTAACGGTACTTTCACAAGGTCTATCTCCACCTCCACTGTTGTGCTTGATTGCATTTAATTATCCACTACGCCATCTGGTTAATAAGAATAGTATCAGGATGGGATGGGAAATCATTGCTTCAGGCATTTCATTCAAATCAAGTAACTGAATATGTTGCAAATACAATCTAGAAGGTAATAGCAATCATAATGATCCTTGTATTTGATGTAGCAGCCTTATTACATCGTTGAAACCTTTCAAAATGATTCACCGTTTAGTGACTATTCTGTAGGCGAAGGCTTGGCTCTGATGGGCTAATCTTTTACTTTTCATCTGAGATTTGTTTTTGCAAAAGGAACTTCCCATGATTATTGTTAGTGTTTGAGAACTGTTTACTGCTCTTCATGTCATCAGCTTCGCTGGGCAGGCGGGTCAGGTGATGGACGTCTTCAGCTTGTCTCACAGCAGTTACAATCCAGCACATTGCAATGGCTAAAAGATTCAAACCAAACCTGACTGATGGACTGTGCTACAGAATGAATCTCCAGCCTAAACCATTCACCATCCTTCATTGTGTGAAGCATTTAATACATTCCAACAGCTGTATCAAAAGTGAGTTACACATTTGAGTTACTCTTTCAGCTGTGTCTGTTTTTTTCTCTCTCTCTCTCTCACAGGTGCCGTTTCCTGTTCTCCAGGGGGAAGGTGTGGAATACCTGGGCCGTGCCGATGATGCCGTTATTGCCATCTCCAACTACAGGCTACACATAAAATACAAAGATTCCTTAATCAATGTAAGATGGTACATCATTCACAGTAGCTTCAGTCTGACATGTAACCCCCCCCTAACCTGGTGGCCTCTTCTCCATTCAGCCTGTCAGTAGGATCTGAGCAGAGAGGGCCAAACGGATTTCCCCACAACCCAAAATTAGACTTCTGTGGTGAATTGATATATAAAGTTCTCTTTTTCTTGTAATAGTTAGAAGTGATGTTACTTATGAGAAATCAGCAGGACATGTTGTATGACTCCTCAAAGCAACTGTTCAAGCTTCAGAACGAATCAGAGTATGTCAAAGGTCCAAAGGTTTGAACAAAATAAACTTCTCCTAGCGATCAGTGACTCAATACTGTGGCCCACCCACAGTTTGTACATTAGCTGAAGAAATAGATCTGAATTGATGAGAATCAGAACTACTGGTATTCACACCCGACCTGATAATCACTGCTCAATGTCTCTTATCTACTGATGTGCAGTTAAACCCAGGCTGGAGGAAGGTCCTGTGGGCAGAGAGAGGCCGAGAAGGTTCCCTGTGAGTGAAGGCGGTGGGAGTGGGGGAGGGAGAGGGATCATGTGGACAGAAGCCAGCTGGGAGCGGGGGGGGCATTGGGCAGGCCAGGTGGCGGAAGCCTGGCGACCTGACATTGCAGTGCCCAGTGCTGGCTCTCTATTAATCCATTGCTCTGAATTCTGAGCTCTGCTGTGTTGCCCTCATTGTGCCCCTCTCTCTTTCCTTTTCCATTCTATTTTTAGACCTTTCTGCAGGGTGTGGACAGTGAAATCTCAGTAAGTACTTTGTGTGCATTGCTGATGACAAACAGGAGCATTTTGTGTTCAGCACAGCTTGGCAGCACCTCTGTACACAGACCTGCCCACCACACAGGCCCTTACACCAACAGCAGTAGCAATGCATTGTGTCTAGACACCTTATAGCACATTTCTGTGCATATTCCTTTAGCCCCACAACCAACAGAGAAGGCGCTAGTAATGTGGCTTCAATCCTGACTGTACAGACCAGACATTTCCTGACCCAACGCTGGACTCCCTGGACTCCAGACAGATGCCTCTCTTTCGCTTTCTCCCATCACACCTCTCGTTTTCACCCACTCAGACCACGACACTTAAAAGGTGTTTTAACTAACACAACTAATGAAAGTAGGAGTTATTTGATTTAAATATGCCAGTGGATTGAAAAAGAGTCCTGGGGCTGATTGGGAACCAGTAATAGTGTTTCATTAGAGCTGGAGACTGGAATGTGGACAGACATTGCACAACATTAACCCAGCGAACCGCCAGCCTAACCTGCATGGACCTGTGTGCTGTGCAGTAACTCTCTCTCATTCACTGCTGCCTTCCCTCCTCGGTGTATCCTCTGAGGAAATGATGGTTGCTTGAGTTTGGTTATAAGGAGGTACCATTCTGCTCCTCAGTAGGTTTGCTCTGATGTGGGTCGCTGTACTGGAGTCTGAGGCTTTTCTGGACTCAGCTCAGTGGTGTCACTGGAGTCAATGGCGAGGGTGAGGTAACAGCACCTCTGCCTGGTGATCGGTGATTCCTCCTCAGTACCTGACTGTGGCTCTGGTGTGTCTGTGAAACGTCGACACCAACCCATGACTGGCCTGTCAGGTTGGTGCAGTATCTGCACGGCCAGCTCTTGGTGTTCCCCGCAGTCTTGGCTAAAGATAGTGTACGTGCCTCTGGGAGGTGCCACCTGTGGCTCCAGCATTGATATCGTCTTTGTCCTGTGGTTCCAGGTGCCTCTGCGGTTGATCGAAGGTGTTGAAAGTCGGGATATGTTCCAGCTCCACATTGTCTGCAAGGATTCCAAGGTGGTCAGGTATGCTGTGCTGTTAAAACATACTATGTTGTGTTTTACCTGATATTATACTGCGCTAGTGTCTGTCTAGACAGCAACCAAATGAAAGTGGAGCAGCTCAGCTGTCTTATTTTAGGATATCCATGACTGTTTGTGGGACATTGCTGTGTGCTGTATCAAATGCAAGGATTATTTTTATTATATCTTTACTGGAGGTCTTTGACAAAGTCCCTTTGCAGAACCACTTTTTAAGTGTGAGCTAGAAACTGACAGCACAGAAGCCACTCGGGCCATCTTGCTTGTTGTTGTTGCCTGGCTGTTTGCACTGTTCTTGTTAAATGATCTGTCTGTGAACTTTCCCACAGGTCCCATTTCTCTACATTTAAACAATGTCAGGAATGGCTAAAGAGATTAAACAAAGTGATTGCCCACCCAGCCAGGCTGGAGGACCTGTTTGCCTTTGCTTATCACGCCTGGTGTCTGGGGGTCTGTGTGGATGATGAGGATCAGCACGTACATCTCTGTCGTCCAGGTGAGAAACTAAAGGACACAAATGACCAGTGATGGTTTGGGCTCAAGCAGCAACCCATGTGAGGGGATGGGGCAGGGGTTGTATTGTACATGATGCTCATTCTCTCTCTCTCTCTCACCCGCACACACACTCTCACACCCGCCTTCTCACTTGCTCTCGCGCCCTTGCTCCTGCCAGCCCTCGCGCCAGCTCACCCTTGCCCTGGATGTGGCAACCCAAACTTTGGATGTGCCCCAGAAAATGGCCCGTTCTCTTCTCACAGTGAGCACATCACCAAAGCCCAATGCAAGGTAAATGTCAGTGCTGTCAGAATGGGGTGTGTGTAATCTCAATCACAGCGTTCTGCCTACTGGATGGAGTTTTTTTTAAACTTGTGAGAAACCTCCTCTTAAATGTTGGAATAAAAAACAGTGGAAAGTTGTGTAATTCTTTAATAAGCACATGAACTGTATTGGTATCAGAATACTTTACCATTCCCACCTCCTCTTCTGCATCTATAGGAGATCATGTTCGCCACAGGTTTGAGATGGAGGTGGAGAGAATGCGCTTTGATCTACAGAACGTCTGGAGAACTAGCGAAGTCAATAGCAATTACAAGTGAGTGTTCACGAGGAGACTGAAAGCAGAATCGTTTACTATTCTTGAGGAACCACTGAGTGACTCAGTCTGCAGGGCAGCAGGGCTTAGTCATATAGGACAGTACAAATATCATTGTCCCACCAAACAAGGAGTGTATAGGCGTAGAGGGGCGGGTTCAGTGTACAGGTGTAGGGGGGTGGGGGCGGGTCAGTGTACAGGTGTAAGTGGGGGTGGACGGGTCAGTGTACAGGTGTAAGGGGGCAGATCAGTACAGGTTTAGGGTCGGAGTCTGTGTACAAGTGTAGGAGATTGCAGGATCCCATACGAGTGGAAACATTTGATGAGTTTATTTCAAGGAAAGTGTTTCAATTATTCATTTGAGTGAGCGGGAGCTCACGGGTTGACTGGTGTGAGAGAGGCTGGGTGTGGGCTGCTGCAATATTTATCATTGTGTTTACGCTATTCCTGGCCTGAGTGCTTATTCTGCACATTACAATGGGGCAATTGTCACCTCACATCACTTGCACAATAGCACATGCTGCAACTTGGCAGAACAGCAGCACAGGCCAGTCAGCCGTGGAGTCCTGTAGCTCAGTGGTTAGAGCACTCGCTTTACAAGTGAGAGACCTGAGTTCAATTCCAGGCAGGGCAAAACCTTGGGCAAGTTTCCTTACTCAACACAGAGCCTAATAATAATCCCTCCAAAACAAAACAATAATAAATTGGTCATTTTCAATCTACGACTGTTTGTGGGACATTGCTGTGCGCAATTGGCTGCCGCGTTCGCCCACAAATATACAGTCAATTCACTTTACAGTGTGTTCTGTGAAGCGCTTTGGGATGTTCTCCCGACGTGAAAAGCGCTATATCAAATGCAAGGATTATTATTATTATAGCACAGAGGACTAAACACTGGACACAAGGATCCTAGCTGCAGATTCACTGGTGTTTGTATTACATGTTCCCACATATAATAATAATAATAACCCTTGTATTTGATATAGTGCCTTATCACATTGTCTCAAAGAGCTTCAACAACAACAAAAAATTACATTTGTATAGCGCCTTTCACTTCAGGAGGACGTCCCAAGTTTCATAGATTACACATTAATGTAATTGATTTACGGAAGATGGATCAATATCAGAGAGCTTGCTGCATGTTTTGTGTGTGAGCCCCATCACACAGATGAGCTGGCTGCTGCACTCGTATCCTCTTGGATTTGGCTCCTGTAGTGTATTATTAAGAAGAGGTCACAAGGCATCAGAAGCCTCTGGAGTTGATTCATGTGCTGCAACAGGAGTCAGAGTGTTCAGTGCAGCACAAACTCACTGTCTCCTTAGCCAGGCAGGCTGGCCAAGATGTAGTTTAACCTTCCTTGCTTTGTGTGACTGCAGGATGTGTGCTAGTTACCCTCAGAAGCTGCTGGTTCCAGTGTGGATCACGGATAAGGAGCTGGAAAATGTTGGAACCTTCAGGTCATGGAAGAGAATTCCCGTTGTTGTCTACAGGTGAGAGATTTTATTGCTGTTTGTCATAACTCGACAGTAGAATACAGTGCAACCTGATTCCCTCCGACTGGGAGGGAGAAACAGGAGATGTGTGGACACTGGGAGTGATGCTGTGAAATGACACATTTGTTGTCACACAGTAAGCTTACAAAAGATGATCTCCTCACCATTTGAATCCCCAGAATTAATGATTTCTGCATGTGAATAGATAATCAGAGGACTCAAAAAAACTACAGTTCCACATCTAGTCGATCACTTGTCTGTACAAAGATCTCTTTGTTACTCTTGTTAACCAGTCTATCGAGTCTTGTAGAATAGTGGTTATAGTGCTCGCCTCACAAGCAAGAGGTCCCAGGTTTGATTCCTGGGCGATTTCCTAACTCCACGCGCACGCCTCTGTTTACAGAGCAGTGAGTAGGAACCGGTTGTTGGGAGGCTGGGGAATCGCTTTCTCGGGGTAATAGTCTCTGCCAGCGCGGTTAGCAAGTGGTCTGGGTGTCTTGGCTATTCCCTGACACCAGGTTACAATGCTCACTGTGAACAGCAGCTTCTATACTGTGAGCAAACTGAGGAGCCCAGTAAGTGACTGGCTGTGCCTTGTGAAGGGTGCAGTTTTGGAATGAGAAGCACTCGAGTGTTTAATCTGCTGAGCTGACTGGTTACACTCACGGAATCGGTGATGGTTTCCTCAGGCACCTGCGGAATGGGGCTGTGATTGCCCGGTGCAGCCAGCCCGAGATCAGCTGGTGGGGCTGGAGGAACGCAGACGACGAGTACCTGGTGACATCCATTGCCAAAGCCTGCATCTTAGATCGAGGAACTAAGCTGAGTGGGAAGAGCAGGAGTGAGGGGAACGATCTCTCAGACACCGATTTTGGTAAGATTTCAAGTCAAGATTGATTGTCATGTCTCAGTGAAATACTGGACCCAAAGTGCAGAAGGTTTGAGCAGTGAATAATGTGAGGAAGAGATTGTAAATAGTAGTCCTGTCGCTCAGTAGTTAGAGCACTCACCTCGCAAGCGAGAGACTTGGGTTTGATTCCAGGCAGGGCAAAACCTTGGGCAAGTTTCCTTACTCCACACGCCTGATAATAATCCCTCAAGAAAATAAATAAAATAATAATTTGGTCACTCAGTCCTTGACTGTTTGTGGGACCCTGCTGTGTGCAATTGGCTGCCACGCTTGCCCACAAATATACAGTCAATTCATTTTACAGTATATTCTGTGAAGCGCTTTGGGACGTCTCGAAGACGTGAAAAGCACTGTATCAAATGCAAGTATTATTATAAATCAGTACATTTGGTGTAAAGCAGACAGTTGTGTGTTTGATTTGGTGAGGTGCACACTTATATGTACGAGTATTGTAAGGCATTGACACAGCACCTGTTATCTGCTAGATATCGTATCAATAAGACTCCTCTGTTATCAGCAGAACTTCCCCCCCCNTCTCGGGTGGAGGAGAATTCAACTTCCCAGAGCTGCTGACAACTCCGGTGTGTGAGAAGTCAAACGCAAAGATTATAAAGAGCAGCCTGTGGGTTCAGGCCCACATCACAGCTTCAGCTCCTAATCCAGACTGACAGTGCAGTGGAGCACTGCATTGGTGCAACAACAGCAACTTTATATAGTGTCCCTCACGCAGGGTAGTGTCCCAGAGCGCTAGGTGTAAGGTGCCGTCCTTCACAAGAGACCTTACACTGACTGAAACACGGACTGCTTCAGGTGGTGAGAGTTCTTGTTCTACTGACGTAAATAATAATCAATTGGTTATTTGTAGCACATTGTGCAGAGCTGCTGCAATCACGACATTTCAGTGTAACTCAGGTGAAGGAAGTGCTTGCAGACCGTTAGACGTAATTACTGTATAAATAGAAGTGAATGTCCAGGACAAAGACACACCATTTGTGGTTGGTCCACCACCACAACAACAACAACAAATTACATTTGTATAGCCCCTTTCACATCAGGAGGACATCCCAAGGCACTGAACCTGGTCACCTGGTCTATAGAAACACCTTCCCTTACTAACCTCTCGTCAGCCCTTCAAACTCACCCATATGGCTACTCTTCACTTGTGATGTGGTCCCAGTCTATGCAGACCATTGCTTCTATTCTCCTTTGATATCTGTGAGTGCACACTTTCCAGCAGTAGTGGATGAATATGGTCATGGGTAGGAAACCTGGCTGATATTTTCCATGTCAAACAAATTGTAGCAGAAGCTGCTGGCACGTCTGAGGTAAGCTAACTCAGCACTGACCGACTGGAATTGAACCTGGGGCCATCTCTCTATACTGACTGGTACCTTTACACACGAGGTCAGTGACATTGTGCTCTGCGTAGTTCATGATCAGACCAAACACTGTGCTCAAAGGTCGTCTCCAACTACAATTGATTGGCTCCCACCTGTTGGCTCTTCCAACTCTACAGCTCATTCCTCACTCTCTCCGTTCCACTGTGGGTGACCTGTTGATGCACAAGAGAATTTATAAAATGTAATCGTCTCCATCTGGGTTCTGAACCAGGAAATACAATGGATCCTGTATTTCTTGTTTTCTTTTGTCACCTGGTTTTTCAGATCATTGGCTCTTCTGAAATGTTAAATGGATCAGCAATGGGGAAGGTGCTCTCAGTGCAGCGCTCAGACAGGCCACCAGATGGAGCCCTCAGCACACAGTTCATTCTCCTGAGGAAGAAGCAGACAGGTCACCAGTTACAGACACAGATTTACAGATCTGAAGGGCTGCTAACTCCTACATCCCCCTTTCCCCCCTCCCTCCTGACACCTCCAGCCACTAGGACCATGTTACCAGTTGGGGAATGGCCTTTCAGGATGAACAGGAGGGGAGGGCGCTGGTTGTTCTGTCATCAACAGTTCCCTGGAGTACAGCGGGTTTGCCCGGCTCAGGATCGAGGCGACCAAAACTGCCACAAAGCATTGACTTGATTCTGAAATCCGAAGCACGTCACGGATTGCATGTTGACTGCAGTGAAATTGAGAATTAAATATCAGCGCCCACTTTATTTCAGATTCTTCCATCACATCAGGATCTGCTGGCGAGATTGGAGCCACTCCCCAGAAGCTGCTCATTTTAGACGCGCGATCTTATACGGCAGCTGTCGCCAACCGAGCAAAGGGCGGGGGCTGTGAATGTGAGGGTAAGTGGGCCGTGCGGCATGGCAGGGGTGGTCCCAGCTCTGCCCCAAACTGCTACCTCAATATCCCAGCTCACAGCAGTTACAGCAATTGTGTTCTATCATCAGGTCAGAATGTGTCAGTGCTGATATCAGTGCCAGAGAGTGACTCAGCACAGACTGTGCTGGAGGTGGATCAGTGACTCAGCAGCCACTATTGCAGCTGAAAACCAAGGTCCAGACTGCTGCAGTCTTACTTTCCGCTGCAGAACATTGCACACATCCTGAGCTGATTCTCACTCTCCTCTCCTACTCCCTGCATGAGCATGTCACTCAAACACACAGACTCACAGTAAGGCAGAGCTCAGCACTGGTTTAAATCAAATCAACTCTATTGTGCAGGGTGGGCTGTGGTGTGATATCTGGTGCAAGATTTGCTCTCTGTCTGTGCCAGCTCCAGAGGTGGTCTCACACCTAGCATAGCACCTCCTGCCGTGTCAATAACTACATGCTCTCTCTCTCTCTTTGCAGAATACTACCCCAACTGTGAAGTGATGTTCATGGGAATGGCAAACATCCACTCCATCAGGAACAGCTTCCACTCTCTCCGCGCTGTCTGTAGCCAGATGCCGGACCCCGGAAAGTGAGTCCCTGCTGTTGGAATCCACCATTTTGTTCGCAGCTCTGAGAGTTAAACCCATATATCTGAATGCTGCCTTTGCAATAATAACGTTTGTTACATTGACCTTCACCTCCTCCACATTCCTGCCATGTCTTGTTTAGTGTCCAATCATATCGTTAAACTGTTTTGAAATGTTGCTGTGTGTAAATCATATTATATCAAAATGCAAGCTGATTTTGAAAGCTATATATTGGTGTGTACTGTGTGTGACTGGGTGGGTGTAGTGTGTGTCTGTGTCTGGGTGAGTTTGGGGCAATTGTTGGGGTGTGTGTGTCTGGGTATGTGGATGTGTGTCGTGTGGCTGGTTATGTAACCTTTTCAATGAGATATCTTTGCTTGTGCTTTCACAGCTGGCTTTCAGCCTTGGAGAGCACCAAGTGGCTCCAACACCTGTCTATCATGTTGAAGGCTGCTCTGTTGGTGGCTAATGTTGTGGACAGGGAGGGGCGGCCAGTGCTTGTGCACTGCTCGGACGGCTGGGATCGGACGCCACAGATAGTCGCACTGGCCAAGATCCTCCTCGACCCCTATTATAGGACAATCGAGGTATTGCAACTAAATCCTTTACATCGTGGCTGGATCAGTGCATGTGAGAATTCTACCATCCACCTAGTGTTAGCTCAAACCTGCGCTTATCTGATGTCTAATAATCCACTAGTGACTATCCTCTTGGGGGAGAGAGAGAGATGTAATGTGGCTAGTGCTGAGTTAGGTCCATGGTAACAAAGCTGGCCATGGAAGTTTGGGATGGAGTCGATGCTCTGCAGCAGTCCAGGCATCCAGTGCCTGAGCCGGGCAGGTCTGCAGGTGTCCAGGGCACTGTTGCGGATGGACCAGTCAGTCAGTGGGATTTGGAAGAGCAATCTAGTCACTAGTGGCAGGGATCTTCAAGTGACCAACTTTATTATTATTTTTTTCTTGAAGGATTATTATCAGGCGTGTGGAGTAATGAAACTTACCCAAGGTTTAGCCCTGGCCGGGAATCGAACCCAGGTCTCTCGCTTGCGAGGCCGAGAGTGCTAACCACTGCGCTACATGATTCCTTGGGTTGCAGGATGTTAACCTTGCAACCCAAAGCTCAAATAGGTCGATTGGACTAGCAACAGCAACTAGCTATAGGGTCTTAACTGGGTACAGTCCAGCAGTGCTGTCGTGCACACAATGAGGTCTCCACAATTCTTCCCAAATTGGACCCACGTTCTCTGTGATTGGGTAAACCAAGTGGATAAAGAGTGTGTGCTCCATAGTGGACAACATGACACCATTTAGCTCTCCCAATCCCAACCCCAGCTCGGGTCCGAAACACTGACTGACCAGCGTCTTGGGACGTTCTTCCGATTTGTGCGCTTTACAAATGTAATTTTGTTGTTGTTTTGTTTGGAGCCTGTTAAGCACGGTAATGGGGTTTCTGCATCTGTCAGATACCCGGCTGAACAAACAAAAACACCCAGAGCAGTAATGGTGGTGGATATTGAGTGCTCTGTGCTGTATCTTTTAACAATGTTTGATTGCTTCTGTGTTCAGGGATTTCAGGTGCTTGTGGAAACGGACTGGCTGGATTTTGGGCACAAGTTTGGTGACCGATGCGGTCACTCGGAGACTGTAGAGGACGTGAGCGAGCAGTGTCCGGTCTTCCTCCAGTGGCTGGACAGTGTGCACCAGCTGCTCAAACAGTTCCCGTGTCTGTTTGAGTTCAACGATGCCTTCCTGGTGAGCGTTCTCAACAACAGCAACAATTTACACTGATAACTGGCTACAGCGTGGTCTTTGGTAATAGCTGCTGTGAAATCCTTTGCATTGTTGTTGATGTGCTATAAAATTGCCGGTTCATTCTTCCTTATGACCAAGCACTTGCATATTCTACACACACAGAGACACATACATATGTTAGTACCTATGGACATGTAAATGCTATTAGCCCCAGCGTTTTTAAGTTGAGGGCTTGAAGCTCATGTGATTTAGCAGGAAGACCATTAGCCATTGCTGTTCTGCCGCAGGTGAAGCTGGTTCAGCACACGTACTCGTGCCTCTACGGGACTTTCCTCTGTAACAACAGCCGAGAGCGAGAGGCTTGCAACATCTACAAGCGGACCTGCTCCGTCTGGTCACTGCTGCGGACGGGCAACAAGAACTTCGAGAACTACCTGTACATCCCTGGCAGTGAGACAGTGAGTGTGTACGCCTGGGGATTCAGTGTGTGTGTGTGTGTGTGCGTGTGTGCGTGTGAGTGTGTGCGCGCGAGTGTGTGAGCGACATCGCTAATTGTGCAAAGGACCTGTTGGTTATATTTTAATACATTGTGATGACTGAATTTTTCTTGCGTCTTTTTGTGAGGTGGTGTTTCACTCTCTGGGGGGCAGCTGTGTGGATGAGGCTGGGAGATATTGTAAGTTATTAATCATGTTGCTCTTTTGGGCTTTGCTGTAATGATTTTCCTTCCGTGGCAGATTTTGCACCCAGTGTGTCATGTCCGTGCCCTACACCTGTGGACGGCTGTTTACCTGCCCATCTCGTCTCCCTGCACCCCCACCGACAGCGCTGAGCTGTGCCTCTCCCGAGCTGGAGCAGCAGAGGAACGATCTGGCAAATCACTGGACAGGTACACGCTGAGGGTTCATTATCCCTTTAGATATTCAGTGATCAACAAATAAAAGCACTTCAGCTGTGAGAAACAGTTACTGAGCAGAGATTCAGTGCACCCAGAGTCATTGCACTTTGATGATTTGGACACAACAAGAAATGGAAATTGCCCTGAAAAATACCACAGAAGATTTGTGGTCTCTGAGTGTGGGTAATGCAAAGTGAGCGGGACCTTCCCATAGAGGGTTGGGGGGGAGAGGCTCTGCGATTCTTCAATCTTCTGGTTTCCATGTAAAAATACATCAATAAAACACCTAATTGAAAACAACATATTGACAGACAACGGTTCTTGTATGAAGTTGGTGTGGAGAATGATGAATCGTTTGTCTCATAATATCTGAAACCTTTTTACAAACCACTAATTCAAACAGTAAGTATATACACAGGGTGACTGTTGTAACCTGGTGTCTTGGGTCCATAAAATTGGAGTTATAGTGCGATATTGTCCTCACTCTTGTCGCTGGGGGTAAACTGGATTCTTTTTCTCAATTAGATTACCTAAAGCCCGGTCTGTGGACAATCTGCCCCTGGCTTGTGACAGTGGAACTCCTCTTACAAGGACATCCAGTGACCCAAACCTCAACAAGCACTGTCAGGAAGGACGTCTCACTCCAGAGCCCAGAATCTTGCCTATGGTCTCGGTACCTGATGTCTCAGACATTGGGGCTGGAGCCCCCCAAGTCCCCAAACAAGACACAAGTGCCGTAGTAGATATGGTAGAAACGGCGGAAGAGGCCAAAGAGGAAATTGCAGAGAGCAGCCTCGCTCCCACTGGGGATGATGAAGCAATACGAGAGGTTGAAAGCCAGAGTAACACAATGGAACTTTACCAAAAGGTTGAAGCATTGAGACTTGCCAAAGACACTGAGCAGGAGCAGCCTTTCCAGGAGTCTACCAGCAGCACTGCGCATACAATGGGCGTCTGCGAGCTCGGCAGCTCTGCTCCTGACACTGAGTGTGCCATAGGAGCTGAGGAAGAATGCAGGACTTGTGACAACATCCCTGTTCATTGTGAACACGTGGAAGCGGCTGCTGCTGTTTGTTCAGACGACGATGAGTGCAATGGCCACTCTTCCCCACCGCCCTACCTCCGCTCAGTGGCTGACCTGCTGTGCTTCAAGGAGAAGGTCTCAGTGATGGGCAGCTCTACAGAGACTGTGACCGAGGAGACGGTGAGAGAGAACGGCTTCTCATTCACAAAGGACTCGAGAGGTGCGAGGAATGGGATGCTTCCTGTGAGCGGGCTTCAGGACGAAGTAGAGCAGTGTAGGCTGGGGCGCACACCCCTGGACAACGTCAGGACTATCAGGAAGCACATTTGCCAGAGTCAATTCAGTGACTTCTCTTTGCTGGACTCTAACTGGGATAGTGTGCAGGGTCTGGTTACGTCAGCCTGCAGTGGGGAAGCAGTCCAGCGCAGAGCCAAGCTCAACAGCTGCCACTACAAGAGACTGACTAATAAATATCTGCGCTGGGGCAGCGCAGTGAACGGACAGTCACTTCACAAAGAGGAGCAGGCAGGAGCCCTGAGAGTACCTCAACACATCCACTCTAGCCTGTGCTCTCTGGCTCTCACCCCAAAAGCTTCGGATTTGTTCGCTCACTGCTCGCCCTGGAAGCAGCTACCCCCCTGGCGGCAGTCGGTCACCGCCTGCTCCGAGGCGGCCCCCAGCTATGTGGACGACGACGGGCTGCCCTTCCCCGTGGACTCGGTGCAGCAGCGGCTGAGACAGATCGAGGCCAGTTACAAGCAGGAGGTGGAGTTGCTGCGACGGCAGGTTCACGAGCTGCAGATGAGGCTGGACAGTCAGCAGTACTGCACCCCCCCCACACAGCCCGACATCGACTACGCCGATGACTTTGTAAGTAAATAATAACCAAAGAAGCTGGTAATTCATAAGCCTCGGTGACTCTGACATATCTATATGTGTGATCGGGAAACGTCCTGAGGGGAAGAGAAGCGTTTCAATACTTCATTCCAGGAGCCAGTATTGAATACCCATCGTCATGATGGTCCAGGAGCCTGGTTGGTGAATCAGTAAAGGGACTCACAAACTTGATGAGAGGAGAAATGTAGTAAATCCCAGAGGTAGGGTGGGGCAAGGGAGTGAGGGTATTTGAAGGTCAGAACAAAGATTTACAGTCGAGCCTTGGATATGGGGAAGCAGTGGAGCTAGGTAAGGGTGTGAGAGGCTGGTGTGGGGAATGATCCTGGCTGTAGAGTTTGGGATAATCTGGAGTTCTGTAGAGGTGGAGCTAGGCATTGAAGAGAAGACTGGAGGTAATGAGGCAGGGGTGAGGGTTTCAGATGTGTGGGGCAGTGATGGGTGCTGGCAGTGTGGTGGAGAAGGAGCAAAGCTGACATTATAAAGAACCAGTTGAAAGGCTCAAAAGAGAGCAGAGGCTCTATCTAGACCTCTGGATACTGTGCTGGAGGTGAGGGAGGAGGTGCTGGCAGGAGTGGAGATGACTTCGGGTTTGTTGATATTCAGTTGAAGGAAGTTGAGTCTCGTCCAGGGCTTGATGTGTGTCAGGCAGTGTGTCAGGGCAGCAGGCATTCTAGAGTCAGTAATGGAGTTGAGCAATGTATGATTGACTGACTGAGTGATTGGTTTGTAGACCTGCCTCAGAGAGTCCGATGACAGTGATGTTGAGGAGTCTCTATCCGCTCACAGTGATGATCAGCGCTCGGAGGCCAGCTGGGAACCTGTGGACAGGAAGGAGACTGAGGTATGGCTGCCGTGTCGTAATCACTCGTGAAAATCCGCTCAACAATTATTCTCTGAAGGTTGATCACCAGCTGCAAAATTCAATCCTCTTTGTACTAAGATCCTATTTTTCTGTTACAATTCCATTGTGTGGGTTCAGTGGGATCTAAAGACCTGAATCCCAAAGTGCCCAGAGTCATTATGGCCTTTTACTGTTCGAGGCGACATGGAACAGCACTGAGCTACTTGTATTGACTCATTCTCCTTATCCTAGCAATGTCTGCTTGTCTTTCTGTACCTCCTCTCTCCATCTCTGTATCTCCTCTCCCTGTGTGTGTGTGTTTCTCACTCTTTCCCATCCCTGTGTATTTTTCTCTCCTCAAATCCTTCACATCCCTCTCTGATCCCTTCACCCAGCTCCTCTCCTCTCTGCACTGCTCTGTGAGTTGCACCCATAGAAGCATTCACCTTAGTCTGCATCTATTCTTGTAATTTCCAGACAGGCACTTGTCCAGGTAATTTTTGAAAGAGTTAATAAACATCACACCAGGCACTTTTGTGGGAACACTCTCTGTACCACTTAAACATTGCTCCGTGGGGAAATAACCCTTTTAATATCCAGCTTTGCCAGAAGCTTTTCATTTCGAACCTGTGCTCTCTAGTTCTGTGAGATATGGGGGAGGGGGAGGCAAGGGAGTGGGGTGTAGCACCTGGCACACAGCTGCTGGGGTATTGGGGAGGGGGAGTAGGGGGGGTGCAGCACCTGGCACACAGTTACTGGGGCTGACTCTGGCTCAGCACACGATCATCATTCAGCGACTGCAGCAATCAGCTCACACTAATGGGACGCTGTCAATCACCTGCAGAGCCGGCGTTCTGTTGTTCACGGTGTTTTGGGAATGTAATGCCTCCTGATTTAGCTGCGTGTCTCTTACCGGCTGCTGCTGTTGCAGGTCACGCGCTGGGTGCCTGATCACATGGCCTCTCATTGCTTCAACTGTGACTCAGAATTCTGGTTAGCCAAACGGAGACACCACTGCAGGTGAGCTTCCCCTCTGCACCATCATTGACAAATCTCACCCCCCCCCCATCCCCCACCTCACACAGCACCATGCACCCCTCACTCACCTGCTCCCACACCCACACTTCTAATGCTTGGGTATCTTTCAGTGAAATCAAGCATTGGATACGACTGTAATGTTAAGCGTTTTGTTCCTGTATCTAAAGTTAAATGATGAGGAGCCCTGTAGAGTGGTGGTTAGCGAGCTCACCTCACAAGCGACAGGACAGGTTCAATTCCCAGACAGGGTGAAACCTTAGGCAAGTTTCCTCACTCCCCACACACACATACACCTCTGTTTACACAGCAGTAAGTAGGAACCCAGTTGTTAGTCGATTGGGGATCCTTTTCCAGGTGATAGTAAACCCCCCAAAATAATAATTTGGTCATTCACTCCCAGACTGTTTGTGGGCACTGCTATGTGCATTTGACTGCTACATTTAGCCTACAAAATACAGTCAATCGACATTCTGTGAAGCGCATTTGAGACATCTAAACAGCGTGATAAAGCGCTATATCAAATGCAAGCATTATTATTGTTATATTGCTTGGAAGTTACCTGCTTGGGAATGAGGTGAAGTAGTGTTTTACTCTGCTTTCCTTCAGTGCCCAAACCTTGGGAACTCCCTGCCTTGATGCCCCCTCTTTGACCGTCTTCTGTTTGCACCTGAAGACTTTCCTCTTGGACCGGGCCTACAGTCAGCTCCCCTTTCTTCCAACTCAGCGTCAGACTACACCATTGTTAAGTGCCGCGAGGCTCTACCCCGATAGAGGGCGCTGTATAAATCCAAGTTGCTGTTGTGGATAGATAATAATAATAATACATGCATTTGACGTAGCGCTTTTCATGTCTTCTAGACGCCTCAAGGCTCTTCACAGAATATACTGTAAAGTGAATTGACTGCATATGTGTGGGCGAAACTCGGCAGCCAATTGCGCACAGCAATGTCCCACAAACAGTCGTGGATTGAAATAACCAATTAGTGATTTTTTTTTCTTGAGGGTTATTATTAGGCATGTGGAGTAAGGAAACTTGCCCAAAGTTTTCGCTCTGCTGGAAATCAAACCCAGCTCCCTTGTTTGTGAGGTGAGGGCTCTAACCACTGAGCTACAGGACTCCAATAGATATTTGTTAGATAAGGGATTCAGGGCAAAGGCGGGTAATTGAGAGTTGAAGTACAGATCAGTCATGATCTTATAGAATGGTGGAACAAGCTCGAGGGGCTGAATGGCCTCCTCCTGTTCCTATGTTTTGTGACTGCGGACACTGACTATTGTTGTTTCTCTCACTAGGAACTGTGGCAATGTGTTCTGTGCTGACTGTTGCCACTTGAAGCTGCCAATCCCCGAGCAGCAGCTGTATGAGCCGGTGCTCGTGTGTCACTCCTGCTATGACCAGGTGCAGGTCTGTCGTGCCCGAGAGATGATGAACCAGCAGCTGAAAAAGCCCATGGCTACCGCGTCTAGTTAAGCCAAGTTCACTCCCGCCTTCTCCTTCCCCAACTCGTGCCGTGATGTGAGCTCTCCTGGACAAGTTGAGACTGTGGCAGGTTGGCTGGTCGGGTGAGCCATCCATCCTCCAGCCCCAGCTGGGAGGGAACGTGTGGAGGAATCACAATGTGAAAATGCTGCTAAAACAAGCTCTTTGATCTGTGCACTAGGAACTTTGCGAGGGGAGGGGAGAGAAATGCAACCAAAATATTATTGAGGAAAGGAGCGAATGCATCTCTGTGACTCTGGTCAGGAATTTCAGTTTAAAAAGTCTCAGGTCCTCACTGAAGAGGGTCTGTGATTTGAATTGGCGACAAGACGTTGGCCTCTTCATCTGGACACTTTACAAAGCCAAGGGCCGAGTGAAGCTTCGCTGCGTCTCCACAGCGAATGGGAAAGGTAGGAAGGTGTCAGTCCTGCTGTGTGTCAGCGGCATCCGTGTGTCCTGCCAGCCTTGGAGCGGATATTGCAATCCAGTCGGTTGACTTTGCAAAGGGAATGTTTGAGGAACATTTGGGAGCCGAGCTGTTTCTTCGTGTGACGGGATACATCATGCTGTACTGTATCTCTCACTCACTCAGCTCTGCTGTCAGCACTTAATGTACATCACCCATCACGTCCTTATCCACTTCTTGAGACGGTGTTTGTCCTGGTCGTTATGCTGCATCACCATATTCTGGTTTGGCTTTGGTCAGCGTAGGAGAGGAGTGGATTGAGCTGTCGGTGTCAGGCGTGTCTCTTATACTCTGCGTTTGCCTGCTCCTCCTTCATTACTTCTCGCTCTTCCTTCTCTCGACTTCCACCCTCTCTTCCTGACCCTCCTTACTCTACTAACCGCTCGCTATCCTCGTCACCTTCCTCTCCTCTCTCGACCCTCTGTCCATACTCTCACTGCGCAGTCTCTGTATGTTGCTGGTCTGTCGTGCCATTCAAAGAGATGCGGGCGTGGCGGGAGATGCTGGAATGTGTCGTTTGGCCATATCTTGTGCACCGTTGGTTAACCCTTTAGGTCTACAGTAAGCAAGGACTAAATAAATCAATTTATGGAAGAAACTCTGCAAAACAATACCCTGTGGGTTTGTAAATTCTTTTACTTTTTCCTGTGATATTATAAGTGGATATAGACCCACTTCCAAGTATTCAAACTACTGGAGAAACTTTGCCATTCAGACCTCTCTGGCTCCCGAAACTGAGCCAGACATTGGCTACAAGCACTCACAATACATAGATCAGTCAGCACTTCCCCTCTCTCTGTTACATCTCTGGCCCTGTCCCTCCAGCCTGCGTATTTGTTCTGTGTCTCAGACTGAATTTAGTGTGTAGCACAGATCCCATTGAGGAGTCCAGGCTGCCGACAATACAACTTACTTTTGCTGACAAATAGTTGAGTTTACCACATGGAGACATGAAGTTCTTTATCTTTTGACAACCTGCAGGTGAACATATGGATCCTGCCCAGCTAACAAAGAGCCCCTCGTGTTCTGTGCAGCAAATAAGTTGCATCTACAGAGCAAGTGTGAGGTTAATGAGAAACCACTGATCAGCAAGTTACTAACAAGGGCTTCAATTCAAGATTGTAACTTATTTTTCAGTTTTATGGAAAAAAAGAGCCACTCTATCTCCATGCCAATGGGCACAGTCTGCTCTGAGCACTGATGGCTACTCCACTCAGTTTGGGAGGATGGTCAGTGAAGGTGGTACGTCTGGGATTAGCGAGGCACAGCATGGCTTCTGTGAGAAAAAGCCCCCTTTCCTCGGCTCTGGAATGTTCTATTCTAATGTGACGAGGAGAGCTCGTTCCTTCTCCACGAGTTGAGCTATTCACTGTGTGGAGCCAACAGTGAGACGTTTCCCACACCAGCCATCTGATGGCCTCCGATGGAGCCAGACAATATAGTGTGCAATGAGAAGATGGTTTGTCGAGTTGTTCACATGGTCAAAAATGCAGAACAGACACATGCTCAGGAAGATTTTATTATCAAGGATCAGAGGAAACATTGGGAAACCCACAACAAGCAGAGGATTTAGACCGTGCACCCTCCTTCCATCACTGCCACATTATTACTAGCAATCAGAGACTTGTGTAAACTCAAGATCTTTCAGACACTCCCAAGCAAGCAACTGTCAGTCAGAGGAATATCTGATCGTCTACAGAGTAACCCAAACAAGGCTTGTTTGAAACATTCAGAGCCAGAGTGGGTTGAGCCTGAGGGTGACCCTGCTCTGATGTCACCAGTACTGCCCACCCTCTCAATCTGGGAACTTCACCCATCAAACTGGGCAGTGAGTCTCAATGGGATATTCAACCTCAGCGATAGAAATACCAAAGCCTAGCATAGTCCCATCCTCGTTGAATGGGCTTGAACACACACATGCTTCCCAAGATTATAATTGGGAGCAGAAACCCTGACCAATTGTAGCCCCAATTATCAGTGCGAGATCACCCCACTGTATAGAACAGTGATCAAAACAAAGGGCAAGGAGATTAGACTACATTACACTCTGCCGGCAAAACCCAGGGGAAAGTTCTTGATTAAAAAGCCACACTCAAAATCATTTAAAAGTATCTTTGCTTTGATAGGGCAGTAGAGATACAAGCAGCACAGTGGTGCCTCTAACACCTTCGCACTGACTGATGCAGCACATTGAGCCCTGACACACTGACTGCTGTTACACAGTACGTGGCACTGGACAGCAGTCAGTGTTTGGCTTAATGAGAATGATGGAGCCTTTACAGTTGCCACAGCACAGTGTTTGCCAGTACGGGATCCGCACATTCAGGACAGCACGGTAACAATTATTGAACCACCAGCCACCTTGATAGGAGTGGGCACAGTTACTGCCATATCTGTCCTGATCTCGGTCAAATGTGGAGAACTTCATATTGTCCTGTTCATATCTATCATAATTCATAGAATCACCTGCGGTTCCCGAGTAAGTACCAAGACTCAGTCTATAACCTTCAGTTTCAGAATTTACAGAAAACATATTGTAATCGGCAAAGCTGGAAACATTATGCCTATTGTACACAATGAACCTGACTCTGTAAAGCCCCTGCTGTGTAATCTGGTGGATGTACTTATTGCCAAGCCAGTGGTCGCCCTGAACGTTACCAAAGCCGAACTTGTAAGTTGTCCAGGTTGCCTTCCAGGTTAGCTCATTGAGCTTGGTGTTTTTCTGGATCACTGTCCAACCACCGCCTTCCGTGGTCATGTCGCAAAGCACTATGAGGTAGGGCCCATTCTCTGGCTGGATAATGTAAAACCCACTCGGGCTGAGCCTACTGAGACCACTGCAGTCCTTGGGGTACTCTGAAACACACACCATCATTTTTCGTGAGATGCACGAAACATCATTACCATGAAAAGCTTTCTTTACAGATAACGAGAGCTTCAGACGAACATATTCCACCTCCCTTATAGTAGCATGTTGTTTCTGTAATTATTCCATAGAGAAACCACCCTTGCTGTTTTGACATGGTGAGTGATGAGTTAACTAACAGCACCAACAACAAAATGACATTTGATTAGCTCCTTTCACATCTGGAGGACATCCCAAGGACAGTCAGTGTTTCGGACCCGAGCTGGGGGTCAGAATTGGGGAGGTGGGGGGGGGCGGTGTTTCTTTCTGTTTTCCCTTTGGCATGTTATATCCCTTTAATGGAGGGCATGTACCTACTATATGCAGTATCTTGCATTCACCTGTTGAGCTTCATTTGCTGGTGATCAGTTCAGGTGTGTTTTCTGTTGAGTTCCCTTGGCTGCCTTTTCTGACCTGTCAGTTTCTGATAACTTGTGTCATCTGCAAATATACCTACCTTGTCTCACTCAATACCTTCACCCACTGACACCGAGCTCCTGTGACAAGTGCCCTTTGCTTGCTGCCATTTAGCCAGTTGCTTATTGATACTCCATTGATGTCTGTTTGGAAAACAGCCTCTGGGAGCGACATGGGCAAAGGCCTTTTGGGAATTTAGGTAATGGACGTCCAAAGGCTTTCCACAGCCAGGTAAGGAGGTGACCACCTCTAAACATCATGTTGGTCGGATTGGATTGATGTGCAAGCGATCACAGCCAGGACAGTCTGCGGTGTCTCTGCAGATATTGCTATGATGCTTCTGGAAGAATCCACAGCCTGACTGCAGATAGATGATCACGCCCGCCACCTCGTGGCAGCAAGAAGCATTGCTACCTAACAATAATGGCGAGAAACTCACTGGGGTCTCTCACCTTGGGTAAACCATGTGTAAACTGGCAGGAGCTTGTTGCCCCTGCTCTGAGGGGTCCAGTGCCCCTGAGAAAAGAGGACAAAATATAGGTAAACATATTAATACAAAGGTAATACTGACTTGTTTGGTGGTTTATCGTCCCTCTGACAATCCTGTCTGCTTCATTCAGCATGTGGCTGTTCTCAATACCTGCAGCCAAAAGTCCAATGTTGAATGACAGAAAAATGACTGTGGAGAATCTGACACCTGAGGTTAACAAAAAAAAGATTAATTCAACCCTCGAGTAACTGAGCGAGGTGGGGGCAGGGAAGAGAGTTTGGGAAAGAGATAAGAGTCATGGAGTCCTGTAGCTCAGTGGTTAAAGCACTTGCCTTACAAGCGAGAGGACCTGGGTTTGATTCCCGGGTGGGACAAAATGTTGGGGAAGTTTCCTTACTTCACACGCCTCTGTTTACCAGCAGTGAGTAGGAACCCGGTTACTAGTCATTTAGCAGATTGTTTTCTTGGGGTTATAACCCCTCCAAATAAATAAAATAAGAATTTGGTCACTCAATCCACGACTGTTAGTGGAACACAAAGCTATATCAAATGCAAGGAGTATTTGTATTGTTATAAGAATCTGAAATTCCCTCACCTTCTACAAGGTGCGATGCTTGAATCTGGAAACACCAACAATTTGCATTTATATAGCCCCCTTCACGCGGGGTAGGATTCTGCAGTGCTGGGTAAGTGTAAAGACCAAACATGATTTCCATGCCACAGAAACAACCATGAGCTGAATGACCAGTTTTGCGGGAGTTGTTGGTCAGGGACACAGAGAGAAAGTCCCTTCTGCTTTTAAATGTTGCCACGAGATCTTTTCACAGATGGGACAGTCGAACATCTCATTTGAAAGACAGCACCTCCGACAATGCAATGCTCCCCCACGACTGCATTGGAGTTTCAGTCTAGACTGAGCTCAAAGTCCCGACTGAAAGGGGCTCGAACACACAACCTTCCAACTCAGAGGCAAGAAAGCAGGCTGACAATTACAGAACAATTACACAACAACACATTCAAAATAATTTGTATTTTAAAAGTAAAATATATGTAAACTTCGACTCACACATCCTGACAGCCATCCTGCCTTGTGCTCTGCACTTCTCTGCTCAATGAACTGGTGTCCCGTTTTTATATCAGCCTTGCCCTTTGCATCTGCATAGAAATGTCGCCCAGTCACAGGATAGTCCTGTTTTGACACCGTGCCTGCAGGGCAGAACTTGCTGATCACCCTCTCCACTTGTCGTCATGACTTCTGTTAACCCCTTTGGTGCTGCAAGCATTCTCCACCACCTTTTGGGTAACTTAGTGTGAGGTACATCAAAATATCCAACTATAAGTCCCCGTTCAGCCAGTACCTTTGCCAAGTGGGAGCCATACATTTTAGAGGGGTAATGGCAAAATACCTGGTGAATAACAAGATGTACCTTAAAAGAAGAGGGACCTGGGAACGGAATTCAAGAGAGTGGGCGCCAAGTAGCTGAAAGCTTGTCTATTGATGGGTGGGTGGGGGCCACATGGAGTAAGCCGAGCGAGGAGATTGGGAGGAGTGAGGGGTTGGAATGGATGACGGAAGGTGTAGAGATGGGTTGGAGCTAGACTATGGAGGAATTTCAGTATGTGAATAAAGATCTTCAACTCAATTTGTTGAGCGATGGGGATCCAATGAAGGCAAGCAAGGATGGGTGTGATATGGTTGTGGAGCCGAGTACAGGGAGGACATGAGCTGAGAGTTCTGAATCATCTGTGGCTTTTGTAGGGAAGAGCTGGGGAATCGGTCTAGCAGAGTGGGGAGGGGTTAAGGAGCATTTATTCTGTTTCATTACAATTGTGAGTGGTCATTGCTCTCCCTATTAGAGGCCCCACTCACTTATT